GATTCTCACAACTCTGATCAACTCAGTGAGTTACTCAACAAAACTCCATTGAAAATAATTTGCTTTTTATTTTTTACTGATCGGTCGACTGTGCAAAATCTGATGTCTGAAAGCTAAGTGCAAGTACTCTCATCTGCCGAATAAACATACGGGTACGTTTATTTTTTTGGGCCCAAACATCCACCCAGTATGTTCTTATTTTGCACAGTACGTTTATTAATTTTTTGAAAACCAGTAATTTTTTTCAACTTCGTGTGAAAAAAATTGACAAATCATCAACGTGAAGACGTTTATAAACGCGTATTGTAGCGAGAAACTTGTCATTTTCGGGCCAGTTTTTGCAATCACCGCGTGCATAAATTCGTCTGAATGTTCTATTGTCATGGGTGGTGCTTATCAAAATACGAAACATTAAATGCTGTTTTTTTTGTCTATTTAAATTCCTAATTGCAAATAACAGTTAAAGATTTGTGCATATATCAGTAAGGGCACATTTTAGTACAAGAGACACAGGTTACCCGTCAATTTTGGTAATTTTCCGGGGGGTATGTTTATTCCGGGGGTATGTTTATTTGATTTTGAAGATTTGTCCGGGGGGTACGTTTATTCCGGGGGGTATGTTTATTCGGCAGATGAGAGTAAGGGTCAAAGAGTTCGTAAAGCAATAGAGAACATACAAGTACTATCTGATCAACCCATATTTCTACTAAGTTGCAATTGTGGAGTTGATGATGATGATAATAATAGCAATTTATTAGTGCTGTTCAAGTCATCTTTAAACAACCAGTGGAGACAGTGGCCCCAAAAGAGAACTTACATGATACGTTCTACTGTGGCAAAGTAGTAATTGTTTGTTTATCTATCCATCAAGAGACAATGAAACGTTGTGTATAACTTATCATTCGATTTGTAACAGGGCTCCTTGCACTGGTTCAGTCAAAAAAAGTTAATGTTTTCGAGCGAGCGAGTGTTTAGGTGCCCCGTTACAAATCCTTTCACCCCTTCCTTCTTCATCAAAACATCATCTCATAGTTTTGTTTTTGTCTTTTTTTTTCTTTCTTCAGGTCTTTGGGACAAAAATTCTCATTCCCCATGCATACAAGTGAGTACTGAGTAGTACATGTATCCCTGAAGTCATCTTCCTGATTCTCAATAGTTTTGTGTTCTTCTTTCTTCATCATTCTGTACCAAAACTGTGGGGTCGTGTGGCGCAGCGGCAGTGTGCGCGACTCAGAATCAAGAGGTCCCGGGTTCAAGTCCTGACATGCCACCGATCTTGTGCCCTTGGGAAAGGCACTTTACACGACTTTCCCCACTAGACTCAAGCGAAAATGAGTATTGTCTGTCCAGTATTCGTTTCTATGTGCGGGACACAACACCAGCAACAGCTGCCTCTGTTCCATGTGTATTGCTCTGTTGCAGTTTCAATAAATCAAATCAAATCAAAACTACCAGTGCACTAGTTAGAGATAGCCTGGTGTCCAGTCTATCATGGTTAGGGTGGGCTGCCCAAAGAGAGTCGGCCTAAACCATGACTGGACTCCACGCTATCTCTAACTAGTGCACCGGTATGCCTAAATACCTCAACCGACCTCAGCCGGCCTCAACCGACCTCAACCGACCGCGTAATGCAGTATACATGGGCTAACAACCTTTTCCAACGCTCTGGATACATTGTCTATGCTTGTATGAATGGAAAAAACACTGTAACTCTGACATATTTACCAGTTTTTAAAAGTTATTCCTCTGGTTTGACGGAGGTCAATGGAGGTCAAGCCGGTAGGCATACGTGCTTAGCAGCTTGGATGTCAGGCTGGAAATCACTCTGTATATAGCTATTATGAGTTGGTTGAGGTCGGTTGAGGTATTTAGGCAGACCCCTAGTGCACCACCAGCAGTAGACACAGTTTTCCAATGAGGAGTTGATTTATATATAAGAATTTTGCACAACTAAAACCACAACCCAAATGTTATCAGAAAATCTTCGTGGCAATTCTGAGTCAAAAAGTATGATCTAACAGAGATGGTTATCAACAGATACTAAATGTTGACTAAAGAAATCAATGAATGAAGAGATTGGAACATGTTCTGTTATCCCAGATTCTATACCTTCCCCCCACTATTCAGAAACAATCCCTCACCATAAAAAGCACATCGGCAGAACATACTGTGCCTTAGCAAAACCTAGTTTTTGTCGGATGTTTTGTCAACATTGCACCAGAATATCGCCCATTGCGACTTTTCCGACACGATATTTGAAAACTATAGACAGGATTTCATCCTTGAATATGCAAATACACAGTACGTTCTGCCGATGTGCTCCATACCAAATTATATGTCGACAAATAGACTAGCTTAAACAAAACTTTTGAAATGTTTTCTCACTGCTTTTTCTTGCCAGAACTTCCAATGGCAATCTCTTGAGGAAGATTGTGATTCCAGAGGACCCCACCATGTATCCCATCATGCCTTTTGATGGTCCCAGCATGCCTTTGGGCAGCAAGAGCTCCACTGACCTTACTGACCTCACACGACCCAGGTGAGAAAAGACAAGGATTTTTTTTATTGGGGATTGGAGATGAATGTCTAATTAAATACTTAATGTTCGTTTTTGCTTTCTTTCAACTTAGAACGAAGGCCCAAGATGACTTTCACCACTGGGAAGTAGCTGACTTCATACAGGCATACACGTGAGTGGTCTTTGTGTTTTCTTGGCTATTGGAGATTTTTTTTAATAAGAAAATAAGATCACACAAAAAATGGTTATTTTCATTCAACGATATGTAGCTTATGTATCTAAAATTCTAAACCCTATCAATCTACACTAGATTAGGTGAAAGACTTTATTGGAAGAGTTATCTATAATGGTGGTTTGTGGGGTTCAAGCACCACTTACTGCCCCAGTCCAACAGATCTGGACCTTTTGGCCTAGTGGTTAGCGTGTTGCCTTCGTAAGTTGGACGCTAGCGCTGTATTTCTGTTTTTGTGTTGTTTTTATCACAGCTCAGAGACCATGACGCCCACAGAAGTTGCGGAGCGAGCCATCAAGGCTATCCAGGACAGCGAGAGGAGTAAACCTCCACTCAGGGCCATCGTTCAGTACGATGTAGCAGAAATTAGGAAGGTACAGTCCAATTTTCCTAAGTCTAAATTTTCTTTAATAAATCTTTAGTCAAACTGTGGTCAGCATGGCAGCAGTACATAAAAATTATGGACCGCTGAATTGTGCTGACCTCACATATACATAAAATACAATGCAGGCACGAACAAAACATACAGATTCACGACACCAACATAATCTAATAATATACAACACATAAAACTGCATTTGACTGTTGTAGAGTCTAATTTCCTGAATTTCTTTACCCAAGTCACAATGAACATTGGACTTTGAGGGAACAATGTGACATCTGAATATGCCACACTAAATTGGCCTTATAGTAACTGTTATACATTCTGTCATAGAAAAACTGTCCAAATAATATGACAACATTGTTGACCTGTGCTTATAATTAGTCCAATGGGGAAAAAATGTACAAGTTTTTTTTTATTAATGTCAGTTCTTTCATTCATTCTAACTTGCAGATGGCTGCTGCCTCTACTGAGCGCTACAGGAAGAATGCTCCCCTCTCCCCACTGGATGGAGTTCCTGTCTGTATCAAGGAGGAGCTCGCAGTGGTAAGCATATACAATGAAGTTACAACCATATTAGATCAGCATGCATAGTTTAGTGGTTAGCAACTGGTTAACCATGTGTCTGGACCAAGAGGTTGGGGGTTTAAATCCTGGCTGTTGCCACCCAACATGTACCCCACTGGAAAGGGTTGCAGTGGTCTACTGTTCTTTGTGCTTGTCCAAAAGAGCTAGGGGAATTTTCCCAGTACTATGAACCTCTAAAGACCTTGCATATTGTCTGTCTTTTCTGTGTCACAACCAGTGGGAGATAAGCTCTTCAGTGAGCTAAAACTGGATCAAGATCACTTTGAATTCTTTCTTTCTTTCTTTCATTGTGCTTGTCAAAATGTCAGCTAGGGGAATTTTCCAAGTAAGTACCTGTAAATACTGTACATATTGTCTGTCTTCTCTATCACAACCAGTCGGAGATTAGCACTTCAGTGATCTACTGGTAGATTAAGATCACTTTCTTTCTTTCTTGTCTGTGTATGTGTACATCCTAGGTGCCTTACTACCACCGTAGTGGAACAGACTGCCTTGGCTGTGACACCCCTGCCTCTGTAGACTCCACTGTCGCGGCCAAGCTACGGGAGGCGGGCGCGGTCATTCTGGGTACTGCCAACATGCACGAACTGGGAATGGGCGTCACTGGATGTAACCCTAACAAGTAAGGAAGCTGTGTCTTCTTAAGTACAACCAAAAACTTTGTCCAGAAGTAAACGTGTGACTCGTTTTGACTGAATATTGCCTACCCTAAGATTCTCTTTTTCTCTCTTTCTCTCTCTCTCTCCCCCTCTCTCTCTCCCTCTCTCTTACTCTCTCTCTCTCCCTCTCTCTCTCTCTTTTCCCACTCCCCCCTCTCTGTCTCTCTGGTTTATCATCTATCGTTTATCCGTTTATTCAGTATTGTCATATTGTAAATGACACCAGCTTGTGCATATTCCTATAAGCCACAGTATTTTAATAATAATAATTGTTTATTGATTGATCGATGAGTACAATCTCTAGCATGTGGCAGCGCAACTAAGAAAGTAGCGCTGAATTGTAAGCTAGTGTTTCATGTACATGTTATTGTTCCAATGATACCCCAGGCTCCATGGGACGGCCAAGAACCCATATAACCCACAGTACTTCACAGGCGGCAGCTCCAGTGGCTCAGCCTCTGCTGTGGGTGCAGGTCAGTAAAATTGAGAAACCTCTCTTTTTCTCGTATCAGAATCAGGGGATATTGTCGGTAAAGAAAGACTAGTTCAGGCAATTCACACCAAAAAGTTTTTACCAGAGGATATGGGTTACAGGACCCTATCAATATACTGTACCCACAACCAACTTATTACATTGTAGTTCTGAAAACATTTAATTTGTGATGACTTTACTTTTGTACATTATGGGAGGGAGGATTCTGCCTGTATTGAGGAAGTTCAATATGGTTGTACCCTGATAACGTATAATTACAAATGTATCTATTCATGTGATAATTGCATTTCTTCAATGAGTAACCATCAATTATTTTGTCATTTTACAGGGATTTGTCCCATTGCCATTGGAACTGATGCGGGTGGATCTATCCGTATTCCTGCAGCACTATGTGGTGTGGTAGGGCTGAAAGGTGAGCAACGGATTTCTTCTGAACTGATACATGTACTTTATTGAACAAGTAGGACGTATGGGTCAGCCTAATTACCGGAATACACCAGAATGCACCGGAATACACCAGAATACACCGAAACACATAAAGGAGGGTGAAAATAGGAATATACTATGCTTTAAGGAGTTAACAGATTGATGTATTTTGGCCTAAGATACCTGCATCAGTGCAGTTTTGTAGAAAAACGTATTTTGAGCCCTGAATCGACTACTGTATTTTCCCTGTCTCCAGGTACATTTGGCCGTGTGAGTGACCATGGTGGTAAACTCCCCGACACGCCGTGTGAATGTGCCTCAATCCTGCATGTTGGTGAGTCAACTTTCAGGGTCTGCAATTTTAATGTGAATTGGAGCTGTCTACTTTAATTCCACATTGAGAAGTTCCTTATGTAGCACAATTCTCCATTTACTTCCATGTCATTCATATTTCTTATCCTGAATTTATCGTTAACTGTTATTGAACAATATTCTTTGTATTCCCCAAAACCAACCCAAGGTCTGCAGACTAGTTTTGCCAGACACCCTATGAGTAATGCTGTGTACAGGTTTGCTGGACTGGTTCCGGACTTGTAAAAATGTTCAAGTTCAAGTCCAAAAAAACCTAAAAGTCAAGAATCAATTCCGGACTTATTACAAAAAAGCAGATGTCACATACCCCATTTCTTTCCAAACCGCTTAAAACCATCCATAGATTGCAAAATCTGTGCTGCAAAATGCCATTAGGCATCATCAAGTGTCGGCCTCCATGTTATGTGGCCACAGTTTTGCATTAGGTTGCCAACATGCAATTTTGTATATGCTATGGGTTTAGACTTACGAGTCCAGAACTGAATCTAAACCTCTGGACTTGAATCAGGACCTAAACCTGAATGTGGGTTTAGGTACACAGCACTACCCATGAATAAAAAAAAAGAGATATTGTGCCAAAATTCTATGCATTAAGGATTTCGTGCAGGCAGAGTACATTTTGTGGACGTTGACCCTACATAATTTTTTTCCTCAGGTCCCATTGCTGCTTCTGTTAGGGACGCTGCCATTGCCTTTGGTGAGTAAACATTAACCTTTAACCTACCGTAGGCACATTTCTTCTGGATTGTAGAAAAGGTTCTTATTTGAATAAGTTATAATGTTTTGGACATCATGATCCATTTTACATTTTCACAGCATTGACAGCAGGACCAGACCCCAAGTATCCACATGGTGAGTTCAACAAACCTACAAATGTATGGAACTGTATATTTTTATTTGTAAAGTTTATCACTGCAGTATTTTGTACAGATGGAAGGAGAACCCAATGGCAATATAAACTGAAATGTTACCCCAAACAATAAGTGTACTTTGCATGCCAAGAACAGTGGAGAATATTTCAAACAAATGGAGACCTTTTACCATATTTTTTGGAATTTTTTGCTCCATGGGGCTAAGTATAGACTAGATGTGTAACAGTCATACATGAGATTTAATACATGTAGACAACTCTGGTACTATCGGCTTCCATAAACTGTAGTAGTTTTACTTCACTCATAAAATGAGTTTCAGGTTTCTAAAAAAAATAGTATTACCGGTAGTCAAGTTTCAAGGAGATTACTAGTAAGCTATCTTTACAAGCCAGGCTGTGATTGGTGTTCCCTCAGGTTTGAACCAGCCAATCATTGACTTTGAGAATCTGGACAACACCAACCTGACTGGTATCCGGGTAGGGGTGGACTGGCGCTACCTCAGGGTGAGTTCACTAGGAACCTCATTCATACTGGATATGCTGAATGCATGGCCTTACATTAAGATTGTTGCTGACTGATTTTTTTATTTACGTGCTGTGATATGAAAAGAAATTTCACCAATAGGCTAATTTACTTAAATATTGATAAATGCTTCTAGTAAGATATAAAATTATTTTTTTTAATCATTTCACACTTGCTTTAGGCAAAAAAGATGAATTTTTGTTTTGGAGTCTTTTTTTTTTTTTGGTGTTAAGAAGCTGAGTCATGTTCTTTAATATGTTGTGCCCATCCAGCATTCCTCCAACTGTATTGTTGCAGCTTGTGAGAAAGGTGAGACATGTAAAGACAAGTTTTTTGTAAGTACCTGTAATATATGCTGATTAAATTCTGAGTGAAGTGAGGAAAGTCGTATAAAGTGCCTTATGACACAATGTTAAGGCATGTAGCTGGATTCGAACCCAGGACCTCTGGGTTCTGGGCTGAATATCCTACCATTTCACCACATGACACAACTCTAGGGAATGTCTTAAGTTATGTGTTTAGATAGGTAAAATTAAGGGCCATGCACCTTTGATTGTATAGTCCTAATGTGTTAGCCTCTACCAGGCTTTGGGCGGCGGGTGGAAAGAGTAGAAATTTGCCAAATAGAGAGTTATATTTGCCGCACCCGAAGTGGCAAACTGTACTCTCTAGCAGACTGTTACTATCCTGGCAATATTATTTGGACGATTTCTACTCTTTCCAGCTGCCTCCCGAAGCCTGATAGAGGATTCTAATGTGTGACTCACTACTGTGCACAGTCAAACTTGTAGACCACCCTGGGGAGCTATAGAATCTGGTCTTCTTATCCAAAAAGCAGCCAGGTGACAGAAGAAGACAAAAGTGCTGGTTCAAAGTTCATGTCCTTTAGTTATACTATTTACTAGTATAGCTAAGCATAGCAAGGAGGTAACCATCACACAAATCTATACAAGATGGAAAAAAATGACAAACATTTCTAATTTCGTATACAGCTAACAAAACTCATGCATGGTACAATAATGACTCCAAGATGTTGTTCATAATGTACATTGTACACTGTACTTATTCTGTCTGCAGCCATTGAGCACCTGGAGCGTTGTGGTGCCGACATCGTGGACGTACAGATCCCGGAGCTGGAGGAGGCCAGGATCGCTCACACCTGCATCGTCATCACGGAGATGGCCACCGCCCTGGCGGAAAGTTTCAGTACCATGTACAACAAGCTGGTAAGGGACTGTTTATGTACATGTAGTGCGTTATCAGGATTCAAAATAAACCAGTGAACAGTTTGTTTGTTTACTCAGGAAATTCAATCTCTACTACTGGATAAATTACGGAAATAATATCCGGACGTTTCGAGTGACATCCACCACTCTTCTTCAGCATAACTAATGAACTCTCAGAACTCGATAAAGCAACTGGAAAAACCTGTTGAACATGACAAAGGTTCATAAGGTCATTGATATGTTAAGTACATAGGGTAGTTCCTATGGTTAGACCACACCATAGGAACTGCTACTGTCCTTTAGTTTGTTTGTTTGTTTGTGAGAATATGCTTAACTTGGATAGAAAATAAATCTTAGTGTATTTGGCAGGTTTATACAAATGTATGTAAATTAGAAGGCATTGTTATCTACAAACACATTAATTTCTACAGAATCAGGTTGAACATATGAGCAGCAGAACAGATATTCTTTTTACATTAATTTGTTGAAGATTTTGTGACGTTTTCATATATTGAGATTTACCACATTTATGGAAGGATTGAAATAACAGGTGACCATCATCTCCCCAAGATGTCATCTCTGAGACCAGACTGTAAGGCCCGAACTACTCACATCAAGAAGGACCCCCTGCTCTTTTTGATACTCTTTCACTAATTCACACAGAAGATTATCTTCACAAGACAAATTTAATTTCATAAGTCCTGCACCAATCAGAATTTGGAAATTATTGATTACCAATATATACTAAAAACTGTCACCAACTTTGTTTTAGTTTAATGAGATCAGACAGCAGATAGAAGGTTAACCATTGATTGTGACTCATGTTTTCTGTGTTTGACAGACCCTGCCCACCCGTGGACTATTGGCCATGAGAGAGACCATCCCAGCGTATGACTACATTCAGGTCAGACGCAAATCTGGAAGCACCTTTTTAACTCCTCGTGTGAAATTCCCGTATCTGTATACACCAATTTTTTTATAAATGGTTTTTATTGTCCAAACAGTACCCGTGCAGTCGCGGCCTTTATACGGCTGAATTGATGCAGGTATCAATCAATACAAATCACAACAATCAAATAATACACATGATACACATATTTGTTCCACAAATTTTTGTGGAACTGTTGCAAGGGTCTATACGGCAGCCATTCGGCGCCAGGTGACCTCAATACGACTTTCCCCAACCGAAGTCACACCTGGGTGAAGTGAGGAAATTCGTGTAAAGTGCCTTTCCCAAGGGCACAACGTCGGGGCGCATATTCAGACATGTACATGCCCCGGGTATGACTCGGAATCAAACCCGGGTCACCCGGTTCATATAGTCGATTGCTCTAACCACTACACCACCCAGCGCCACTCTTTTATCGCAAGAATGATAGATTTGGCAAAATTTTGTCCATCATGACTCTGAGCTCTGTCAAGTGACAGAAAGACAGACACTGGCTAGAACCCTGTAACTGCAGTATCAATTTTTATCTTGTAGGCTATGAAGCAAAGGACTCGCACCATGAATTTCCTGAAGGAAATCTTCAACAAGGTGGATGTGATCATCACTCCTGGTGAGTAGTAGCTTCAATGTCTTACAGTCACTCCTTCATCCATAGATTGTGGCATAACGTTATAGTACAGATCTCAAATAACTTCCCATCTACACACATGCAAATCACAATCAAAAGTTGTGCAAAACATGATCAAAAGTTGTGCAAAACGTGATCAAAAGCTATGCATTTCTCAATTAAAACACATGCACAAGCTCTGCAAAAGCTGTACACTTTTTGTTTGAATCATGTTTATTTCTCAAGTAAAATGTGTGTAGATGTTCAAGTAACTGCAGGTGGTTATGTATTATAAATAGCTACATACATTGTATGATTGCAGCGTGCATGTAGTTTACACAGCTTTTAAACAAATTTTAACTGCATGTTACACAGATTTTACACAACTTGCAATCGCAGTTCAAACAAGATTTACACAAGTTTTGCGTGAGAAATAAATGAGTTAAAACGTGTATGAATTATGTGTGCTTTATTAACAGGCACTGGGGCACTAGCACCACGGACAAGCCTGGGAGCGCTGACCTATGGCAGGACCCCTGATACACAGGACAGTGCCATCATGAGGTCTGTGGAATTTATTTTGTGCTAAATGAAAGAAGGCAAGAAGGGAGAGAGGGAGGAAGGAAGTAAGAAAGGAGGGGAGACAGGAAGGGAGGATTGAGGAAGGAAAGAGGGAAGGAATGAGAAAGATTATTTAGTGTTTTGCTAAATGAAGGAAGGAAAGAAGGGTTAGAGGGAGGAAGGAAGGGAAGAAAAAGAAAGGAAGGAGAAAGATGGTAAGGATGGAGAAAGATTGTTAGTCAGTGTTTAAAAGGAGAGAGGGAAGAAGGAGAGGTAGCAAATGAAGTACAAAAATGTAAAGAAGGAAGAAAGAAATTAATGTAGAAAGATTATTAAAGGATACAATATAGAACTGATCTGTCTGATGTTTTTATTACATCAAATTTCTTTTTATGAGATTATTTGTTGTTTTTAATGGACTCAATAGAGAACATAACATAAGTCAGTATTTCAGTACATGTACATCTCTATCCCCTCCCCCCACACCCCCCCACAGGTTCATGTTCCTGGGTAACCTGGCTGGCATCCCTGGCATCACCGTCCCCATTGGCTACAGCAGCAGCAACAACCTTCCCATGAGCCTCCAGGTGCAGGCCGGCTGGTGGCAGGAGAGTGTGATGCTGAGGGTGGCCCACGCCGTGGAGAGAGGCACCAAACACGCCAAGCCTCAGGTCCACTTCTCACTGCTGGGCTGACAACAACCTCCACAAATAGGGTTCTGAGACTTCTAGAAATGGTATAGCCTCTAACAGGCTTCGGGAAGCAGCTGGAAAGAGTAGAAATTGGCCAAATTTACAGATAACATGCCAGGAGAGTTGGTCTTCTTGAGTGGCAAACTGTATTCTTTGGTGGGCCAACAAGAAGACCAACTCCCCTGGCATGTTATTTGAGGGTCTATTTTGTCTTTCCAGCTGCTTCCCAGAGCCTGGTAAAAGGCTAGAAGTTCTTAAGGCTCTGCCCATAGACCGATGCCATCGGCAAACTGTACTCTGTAGTGAGCCAACTCCCGTGGCATGTCATCTGTCTGTTTGGCCAGTTTCTACTCTTTCCAGCTGCATCCTCAAGCTTTAAGTAGAGGCTAGAAGTTCTAGGTTCTACACATGTACCGATCCCATAGCCCCGCTTTGCTGATCTTAGCTCAAAGTTATGTAGTAACAATAAATAATTTTCTATTAAGTTTTCAGTTTATAGTTTTTCTTCAAGTAGTTTTTTTATACATTTTTTTTTCAATTTACCAATATCTATTCAGGATTGATATAATTAATATTTGAATTTTTAAACATATTGTAGCTTTTTCCCTTCATTCCTATATGTCACTGTGTCATTTCATTGGCTAAACCACTAATTGCTATGCTATCATTGGTTGAACCGCTAATTGCTATGCTATCATTGGTTGAACCGCTAATTGCTATGCTATCATTGGTTGAACCGCTAATTGCTAAGCTATCATTGGCTGAACCGCTAATTGCTATGCTATCATTGGTTGAACCACTAATTGCTAAGCTATCATTGGTTGCACCTAGTGATGCATACCTAAACCCAATTTCAGGTTCAGGTCCGGATTCAAGTCCAGAGGTTTAGGTTCAGGTCCGGACTTAAGTCCGGACCTAAACCCATGGCATATACAAAATTGCATGTTGGCAACCTTGCAATGTTGTCTGGGTGAAACTTTGGCCACATAACATGGAGGCTGGTACTTGACGATGCCCGATGGCAATGTTTTCTTCATTTTGCAGCAAAGATTTTGGAATCTACGGAAGGTTTTAGGTGGTTTAAAAAGAAAAGGGGTATGTGAAATGGTCTTTTATGGTAATAAGTCCGGACTCGGTTCTTGACTTTTAGGTTTTTTTGGACTTGAACCTAAACATTTTTACAAGTCCGGATCCAAGTCCAGTGAACCGGTATGCACCACTAGTTGCACCTGTAATTGCTATGCTATCATTGGTTGAATCGCTACTTGCTATGCTATCATTGGTTGAACTGCTAATTGCTATGCTATCATTGATTGAACTGTTGATTTTGATGGACAGTCAGGATTGGTGTAGAGATCTAGAGAGAAAGAGTTTAAAAAGCAATAGTCTATATCAAAAAGCTTTATCATTCCAGGTGATGATTCTAGAGTAGACTTGATAGTGATATTGCTGCTTATAATCATGTTTCACCAGCATATTATTTGGTTAACAAAATGATTAAAAAGTACAAATAAAATTTTTATAATTATGAATTTATTGTTATTTTTTGTAGGCCGTAATTCAAACTCATAGAGCAATTGATTGAATTTCAAAGTATGGTGTCATTTAATGATAAAAACTATGTAACTATCAAAGGCGTATTGTAATAAAGGGAACAATATGAGTACAAAATGTATAACACTGATGTCAAATACAATATAAATGGTACTCAGAAATAAGTTTCAGCAATATTGGGTTTTACTAACTGTAATACTACATGTCATTATACATTTTAATATGCTACAGCAAGTCTAAACATCCACATTTGACTAGCCTGGGTGCCAGACCCATAGCACACTGGGTGAGCTACTTTGTGTCCAGTGTGCTATGGGCCTGGCACCCAGGCTACATTTGAATTGCTTTACAAATAATTACATTGATTCTTCCTGCCGGAAACGAGTGTGGCTACCTTTTCAAACCCCTGCAATACAGTCATTAATTCCAACCAGCTGGAAACCAGAGTTCTCCACTAGATAGTCCAGAAGGAACACTGACATCATGTAACTATCAGGGTGATCGGAGTTGAGGCTCAGGATACCTCCATTCTGACCTAAAGCTGTACTAATCATGCGTAAAGCTTTGGGCACCCGCTCCACGTCTCGGTAGTAGTAGTAGTTGTTGTAGGTGAGCAGCGTTCCTGAATGTGAAAAAAAAGAGCCCTTGTATAAGTTGTATTGTTTTAATGTATGACAAAGGAAAACAGTTGCAGTATTGGTGCATACAAAAAAGGTGGACGATAGTTTATCTTTATCATGCTATGGTATTAGATCTGCACAAGTTGTTGATACCTATTCAGGGTCTTACGTATATAAATATATATATTATATATATATATCATTGGTCCGATTGAAAGGCAGCCAAGACTGCAAACGTTGCCAATGATTGTTATATATCGGGGTTAGTATACATTGCAATTGAGTCAAGAACGGCTGATTTGGGTCCTCATGATCATATATATATGTAACAGTGCTCCTTACTTGTACTAACAACTAAGACGTTCTTCAAATGTTTTAAAACGTCGCTCCGTGAGGTAACTTTCGGCTTCATGTCCCCTCCAAAAGGTCTATAACTTTATGATCCTTTATTGTTGTGCAAAATGACATCTCCATGTAGGTACTTGTTTTGTTTTGTTTTGTTTTGTTTTGACGTACACAGACCTATACCTTTAGTAAAACGTTGAACTTTATTCCAACATAAGGCCATGTTGATTTGATAAAATGGATGACATCCTCCGGGAGCCCCAAAACTGATGCGTTTTGCAAAAAAAAAGTTCTTTTCATTATGAAATCTACGTGGTCATGAGGGTTGAGCAAATGGCACAGAATATGGTTTGGCGAATAATCTAGTCTTCAAGTTCATTTCTTTACAATTTCGTCTTTTTTCGTTTGATTTTGGCATTCTACGACATTGGTATAGTTTTTATTAAATTTTTTTGTAACTTATGGTATATTTTTGCTCATTTTGCAACTGTTTTGTACGATTTACAGTATGGTTGAAAACTTTTTTTTTTGGAAACGGCCGAAAATTCATGCGCGCGCGGATGTCATCCATATAATCAAATCAACATGGCCTAAGCATTACACAGAGATTTAATTTTCAACGACCATGTCGCCTTCATCAGGATAATCAATGATGTGTGAATAAGGTCACGTGTCTGTAACCATAACTCTCGCAAGATTACGTTTAGAAGTTGATTGGTCAGTAAATTATCCTGATGAAGGCGACAGTGGTCGCTGAAAATTTTATCTCTGTGTAATCTTTGTGTTGAAATGAAGTTCAACATTTTACTATGATTACTACTATGATCATGATCAACACTTATAAACTGGCAGTTTTTGCAGTCCACACAGGGGCGTACCCCGAGGGAGTCACTTAAATACCGGCCGATAAACACACGCACAGACACCTACAGATTGTCTTTATTTCCCTTTACTATTCCACAGTGGAACTCCTTGCCCGGCCCGGTAGTTATGGCTCCCAACGTTGAGTCGTTCCGGGCCGGGATGGCCTCCTCTCCCCCCTAACGGCACCCCTCGCGGGGTACTGAAAATGATGATGACTACCAACACAGATGAACTTGCATGAGACCTACCTTTCGTCGGTGGAAACCGTGCGGTTGGGTAGACCACACGCAGGTTCCTCTGTTCTGCAGCGCCGGTGATGTCCCTACCGGTCCTGGCCGGGAGGTAGAAGGCCGGCTGAAGACCAAGCTCATGGAGACTGAAGTACCATCGGAAATGTGAAAAACAGTAAGAATCATGATACGAGAAATCGTGATTTCTTTCACAACTATGTGATATCTTGGGTCATTCTACATTCTCTTCATCATTGTTTCACAATTTTGTATCTGCTGATGTTGCTTTTATTTTTTACGTGTAAAAGGTGAGGGCCTAGATAACTATTACTTTTTGGCCAGTCCTCAGAAAATATATGTGAACAAAGCAATTAAGAAAAGGTAGTAAATAACATGTATATTTGCATATAACGCAATGGACGCTTAGGTACAGAAGCCAAAGGAGTTTTTATTTACTATTATTTACCACTGTGTCCAAAATGGTCCCTTACTTTCCTACTGTCCCCTACCACGAGAAAACAATTTTACTACTAACATCAAAGAACCAACATATTATAGAAGTGGATAAATTCGTCCTTCATTGCCTCTTAAGAAGTCAAAGTGTCAAACCCAGCAAACATAGTAGAATGTAGTATGATGTTAGACGTAGTATTTTCTTTTTTGATACATGTACATGTTGTTGTAACTGCAATTAGCACTCGGGTATGTATTTGCAATAAACTTTCATATTTAAAAACTGACCGGAGCACACTGATGATGAGGTTTGTACGGATCCATCTCGGGTTGATGATGTCGAAGTGTCCCGGCGGGTACGGATGCCCCTCCCGGACACCGACGGTGTGGTTCAGGGACCAGTTCAGGACCATCTCGGGGAAAATCTCGGCAAAGTCTCCGTACACAAATACGCTAAGAAATCCACAAGAAAACAATTACTCAAGCAACTAGAGATATATGCTAAAAACAGTTACTCAAGATACTAGTAGCATCCACATGTATAGAGAGAGTGGTACAGGTACTGTGCATGAGGCAATGATATCCGTACTTATTTCTTGACATTAAAACATTAAATAAACTTTTCATGTGACAAGAAACTGAAACAGTATATTTAATCACGATAATGATGATAAGCTATGATGATGATCACGATAATATTGCCTTGCATTAGCATCTTGTAGTACTCTTGAAATATAATTATTTTCCATACCTGAGTGGTATGTAAACTCTGTAAGCTCGGATGGTTTCGATGAGTCTGTGCGCCATCTTGGCGTTCATGCCCACCTCTATGACCAGGGAGACACGGCCGGGAACTGACGGGCTACCAAACCCACACGACCGGTAGACAGTCCCGGCTATGCCGCTGGTTCCACGGGGGACCTAGGCAAAATTACACGGATTATTTTTAAAGCGATATCAAGATTTTTGCGCCAAACTATATATATTAGCGTCCCTATTTCGCTTTGACTCATTGCAGCGCGAGAATAAGTTACGTCAGGCCCAAAAGCTCCTAAAAAGAATGTAAACCAACAACATGGCCGCGATCCGCGCTAGCGCCGAGTAGTTGGCAGTTTTCCAACACGTTTTTGCGGCACAACGACGTTGATCTTTTACTCTCAAAATGTCATTATGAACACAGGTAAAACAACGTTTAAAATAGTGAAAATCTTGCATTGTATCGCTTTAAACGTACACAAATCCTGGTCCTGTAAAGGGGACCCAGTCCCATAGTGACCAGCGGCAGTTATGAACTCTAAACTCTAGATAGTAAATAAAGTAATTGTATGGAGGTCACGTGTGTGGTCATTCTGCCTGAAGAAGGTTGGAAACGGCGCAACCTGAGATTTGAATACTGCAAAACTTTAAACATTTGTGATGGTTTCATTTTCACGAATACGTGTTTTTTTGGTACGACATAGTTTCGACAGGGAACTGTGATGATAGTTTTAGTCTTTTTTTTAACGGAGTGGCTCAATGCAAGGCCTATACGACCACTTGTCGGCATTGAACTAGAAAGATGAGAGAAACATGGCTATGTCAAGAGATGGCGGTGAACGTTTGATTTGAAAGCCTGTAGATTGTAGGTTGGTGGGAAACACTTGTCAGGGAGGGAATTCCAAAGCCTGGCCATACGAGGAAAGAAACTGTCACTGTAAAAAGGAGATATCGAACAAGGAATTCAAGTCATTTACATCTGTGTATTTTTTCCAAACCTTTGATTGGTGCAACTCTTCTATATCCTGATAATCCTGCTCCTCTGCCGCCCAGGACAGCTGAGTGATCTTCTTCTTCGCTAACTCGTCCATCAACTGGTCCTTTTCGCTCCAGCTGAGTCCGGTTGGTTGCCAGGGATGGAACTCACCATAAAACCTGCAGATTAAACAACGACAAACTGGCATCATAATCCACTAGAGCTTTTTTTTTATTCCAATATGTAATCACCAGACGTGGTGACGGCACACTCAAGTTTTTTCAACTTATATTAATGCCGCCACCAATACAGGGGACAAATACATGACAGGACAATACTTATTTTCACCTGAGCGAAGTGAGGAAAGTCGTGTAAAGTGCCTTTCCCAAGGGCACAAGATCGGTGGCATGCCAGGACTCGAACCCGGGATCTATAGGTTCCGAGTCGCGCACTCTGTCGCTACGCCACACGACCCCACCTTGAGCTTCACATACATCATAGTATTACGTTAAACGAGAAAACATTAACCAAAACATTAACCCAATTCACACAATGTATGTTCCTTGTCCTTAGTAATGCCGTGCATGGTCAAATTCGTGGTAGGTCGCCGTACAATTTTGCTAATTTGATGTGACAGAATTTCCAACCAAAGGTAAGGATCTACGTCAGACTTTTCCTTTTCAAGACAACTGAATTTTGTATTCGATATTTTCGATATAAAAATGAAATCCGTAAAGATGTTTTTGGATGTGGTGAATGAATCCTCAACTGGCTCAAGGCTTTTGATCTGCGGGATTTTGTCAAAGCGTTACATACCTACTTAATACCATTTTTTACACTTAAAATGTGTGATATTAATACCTACTTGTCAATCCATCGGAATGTGCCGTCTTTCAGCATCTTCTTCAGGATGGCGTACTCTGCTCCTTCGACGTCGAGTTTGAACACTACAGAATAGAACAGTGAAAATTCGGTGTGCTGCTCTCCTAGCTTCTAATTCACGCTGATTTGTGATTATTTGAACATGTACGTTGAAAAGGACATCATGAACTTAAAAGTGTTGTTCCCTAATTAATGATATCACCATCTTACGTACATGTAAAGGCTGCATGTACTGTACTAGCAACCTACTGGTAGCCTCCACCAGGCCTTTCTACGGGAATACGGATCGTAGAATTCGGCAAAAAGAGAGCAAAATTGGCCAAAAGGAGTCCGGCCGCGGGGAGGTAGTTTTTTCAGGCGGCCAAACTCCCCTGACAAATATTCTCCTATATATAGCCAGCGTAGTTAGTCTGGTAGAAACTAACCTACTGGTAGGTTAGGTGCAGGTGGTTGTTCTATTTCATGTCAAGCCTAATACTAGTGATATAGATTCTGAAACGTGGTTTCAGCAAGGACATGGTCTCGTATATTGTCCTTGGATTCAGCTTTTATTATGCTGAGGTAAAGTATAAACTCGTATGGTCTATTTAAAACGTTTGTAACATAAGACAATCAACAGCCATACCTATGTCATCCTCTACTGCAAAGTTGGCCTGTATCCACCGGGACAGGTCGACCGTTGGCACCGGTCTGCGGTGGGAGAGTTTTCTGTGCCCGCCTGTGTCCGTGTCCTGTTTCTCGTCCTCACTGACGAACAGAGACCCCCCTCCCCACTGCATGTCTACGCCGTTGTTCTTCCCCTTGTCTGGCGACCAGGCCGATTCCGAAAACGCCGTCATCTCTCCTAAAAGCATGAATGAAGTATTATGAAAGTTCATCTGTGTTGGTAGTCATTATAGCAAAATGTTGAACTTTATTCCAACACAAAGATTACACAGAGATCAAGTGAATAAGATCTGTAACCGTAACTCTCGCGAGATATATAATTACGTTTTGAAATGATTGGTCATTACTTATCCTGATGAAGGCGACAGTGGTCGTTGAAAATTTTATATCTGTGTAATCTTTGTGTTGGAATAAAGTTCAACATTGTACTATCATTGAATGAACTATATTGCTCAACAATTGTACATTGGTACAATGTGTGGCAGTAAGACAACAATACTACAAAACTGCATACAAATATTACTACAAACTACTATCGACATCAATATATGAGCTAACAGCTAACAGACATCTAGGGGGCCTAAATTCATACTTTAGCGGTACAAATTCTTACGTCATAAACTAAACCCTTACGTCAACAACTATATGCTATCCTAACATCACATCCACAGACCATCAAGCGCCAACGATATTTTTTTTTTTAATTCTTCTGCAGTACCAAGGTCAATCACTAGGGGCCCAAACTTGACCAACACAATCCCTTATATCCCACCTGCCTTGAAATATACACAAAAACATTATCCAGACTGAAAACCATTATCATGGAGGGTAAATAAGAAAATGTAGATCATTGTAAAGATGGTTTTAGAGTCGGACAGACGTACTTACCACGTGTGCAAAGTGAAAAACCTGCTTGACAGGAAGGTCCAGTTGGAAGGAAGTGATGACTACAAACAGTCAGAAATAGTTAAGTTAAGTCCCAGAACATGCCAGAGAAGGAATTTAGTCGGCTGAAGTGGGAAAAATAAAAAGAAACAGAGAGGTGCAGGTAGACAGAAAAATCCACAGCAATGAATGAACATAGAAAATGTTTCACAAATATTTCACGGAGGTATGCAATCTCCCACTTCTAGTTTCTTTTCAAATGCTAGAATACCGTCTGTGTCCGAGACAGCAGTTGGACAGTGCAACTCGTGGTTTGAGTACGGAGCGAAGTACGGCCGTAACCGTCCGTCCAGTTCGAACGAATGAATGGCGTAGTCATGTCCGCCTGGGTACGTTTCCCTGCAATGGTGAACATGTTTATTTGTTTATTGGTATTTTCCACAAAGTAAAAGGGAGGGCAAAACAGGTGAGTACGCACCTTTACAAGTTGCCCTCGCCTATACAAAAAGACAACAATGTATATGTGAAAAGACATGTACTACAATAGAATATTACGCAGTCAGTTACGGCAATATATAATAATACACAAAACAGGGAATAACTATAATACGTTAAGCATACTTCAAATATATATATTTAATATTAAGTGGAATAAATCATGTTGAAACAAGTGGGGTCTTGAGGCAATGCAAGAACTGCACCCACATGAAGTGGTCCAAGTACACGGGAAGTCAAGACTGTAATGTGTGTTAAATCTGATGTAAATGGCCTTGAGTAGTTTGTGTATCTTATAACCCTGAGAGCTAGAAAGGATGAAAGCTCCGCCCCCTAGCAGTATCTGGTTTCACAAAGTTCCAGCTATTGGGTAGCTAGGTATAACTGTAACCTAAACTAGTGGTGTAGGTTACCCTCAGGTATAGGTTACCCTTAGGTATAGGTTATCCTCAGGTAACATAAACCTGTGCTCGCCCACGGAGCTGTCGGGCTTGACAAATTAATTATGGCTATCCGTCACCCAGAGTGACTAGTACTAGTACTGTAGCATAAATTCTGGTTTCTTGCTAATGTACGTATATGAAAAGAACGATGTATCAAGAACATATAAACACAATGTCGTCGCCTGTGTTTTTTTAAAAAGCATAATACTTGTTAGTTCTATCATGGCCGCCACGGTGAGAAAGTCAAACGTTATTCAAAAGTTCGACTTCATCAACATTCATCATTCATGCGTTCCAATATCATAAAAGACAAGTTGTGCTCAGCAAAGCTAGGGCTGTGTTCAATTCAACAGCGAATGGGCTGAATTGAAATGCGAGACTGACACAACCACGATGTGCATTGTCCAGGCGGGAGAAAAAGCTCGTATAACGTTACGTAATGTAAATAAATTCAGGTCAACAAGCTAAAAGGCTTTTGCGTTGTTCAATACAAATGTCTAAATCCAACGTTTAAATCTGGCTACACAAATATCTTAGTCTAGCAACACCACGTTCATGTACCAATGTCATAATCTCGCTACGTAAAAGTAGTGTCAAATGCAGGCTACCTGAATAGTTGAACGCTGGAGGCGACATTCGCTCCACAGTCTAAAAATATTTTCTTTGGACCCTTGGCGCCAGTCTTGGTCTTCTGTATCGGGACGTGGCATGTCTTGAACCTGTATCATTAGAAGCGACATAACCGACATAAGCATTTTGTACTATCAGGAGAAATCTGTAAAGATGTTTAAGTGAACATTGTCATTGAAATACTGTTATTGTCAGGAAGTTTGTAACCCAGGTCTGTAACCCAGGTCTGTAACCCAGGTCTCTGTAAAAAATCGTGCACTTCTGTGTGGCTGAAAGCTAGTTTAGAAGAGTTACTAACAGGTTGGTTAGGTCACACAATATGCGTGGTCACACAAATAATGCCGGTGCAATAGCTCAATTGGTAGAGTGCTCGCTTTGTAACCGGGAGGTCGTGAGTTCAATCCCCGGCCGGGTCATACCAAAGACTTAAAAAATGGTACACACTTCTTTCTCTCAGCTTGACACTCAACTTGACACATAAGAGAAAGGGTGTGGGAAGGTCAAACACACAGCACTACCAGCGGACTAGCCACCGGTACCTGCTGCAGTGCATTGTACAACTGTGTGTCGCCCAAGGGCTACAGAAATGGATATGGGCACCACCATGCGTTACGCTCTGCATAAGGGCACGAAATGGATATGGGCTACTCTCCAAGCAGAGGTTTGGGTTTTGGGGGTATTTTTAGTGTGTTTTTAGGCTTTTTTATTGGGGTTTCTCTTTTGCACTGAATTTTTTTTCCCACCAAACCCAACGTTTGGTTGGCTAAAACGCAAAAGAGAAACCCCAATAAAAAAGCCTAAAAACACACTAAAATACCCCCAAAACCCATAAGGGCACGGGAGACCTTCTTCTTCTTCAAATAATACTTACTGTGTGATGAACTTTGTCTGATGGCACTTGGACAGCTGAGACTGCAGATCCACGCACGAACAGTTCCCCATAACCTGAAACCTTACCGGACAGGTGTATGGCGTTATGGCGGGCCAACCCTCGAACATGCTGACTTCATACGAGTTGAAGAACATCTGAGTCACCATTCCCGCGACAAACGACACCAGAATCGGGACGTATGCTCGCCTCCTGTGAAGCGTCGACATAGCTGTACTCCGCATTCCTGTGTTTGTGCGTCTGGGAGTTAACACGGAAAAGCACGATCGTCAAAGGCACTACGAGTAATCTCACGTTTGCCCTTCTCAACAGTCACGGTGTTTAACAACAATAATGGACTGTACGATAATTTTCCGGGGGGGGGGTAATGGTTGGCTGGTGGGGAGGGGGGTAATGGGTTGGCTCGCAGTAGACACTTGCTTTTGTAAATCCATAGTTCTGCAATATTTCTGGGATTCGTTCAGATCCTTTAGATACAGATCTATATCAAGTCATGTGGCTTCCGAGGTCGAGGGGTGAAATATCTGGTCGGGCCACTCACAACAAGCAGAAACTCAACACACCTCTCTGTCGGAACAACAGACTGCAAGTCTCCCATTCCATACCTTGTAGACATTCTCAACAAGAGACAGTGAACTCTGAACCGTAAACAAATTTTCTGCATGTTTGTTTCGAACCTTCATATCTGATGTTTACCCTGTACTTATCTTGTAATCAGTCTACCTTAAGCTATTTAAGCTATGAGTTTTAGTATGTAATTATCTGTAGCATTAAGAGATGCTAATGTCTTGTATATAAAAATCAATAATTAGTGATGAGGAAAATGGACAATTTGTGTATTTCAAACGACCACAAAGGACTGTAAATACTGAGGCAATTCAGACTTTTAGCTGCAATGTTTAGTCTCTAAAGTTTCTATATGTTTCGCGCGATCCAAGCATACCTGCATGTATTGTGTGGGGTGCCATTTTGTTAACGGTTAATATTTGGTCACTCTCATTATTACCTCCATAAAAAATGGAGGCATTGTTTTGGCCTGTATGTGTGTGTGTATGTTTGTGTCTGTCTGTCTGTGTGTTTATATTTCCGCACATTTGTAGCCAGCATAACTTTTGAACCTTTGGATGGATTGAAATTATATTTGGCTATGCTACGGAATAGACCAGAAGATTGACTTCGAAAATCTAGTTTTGCCGCCCTGAAATTGTATTGGATGCCTTGAACATCGAGTTAACTCCCATTGTATAAATACAGCCTGTCACTGTCGGTAGACAAAATATCTTTTGGTTCTTGCTATCCCATACTATTATCGAGGTCTGCTACAACAGAACGGATCCGTATAGCACTGCAGATGTCGCCTCCGATTGTACTAAACCGCAGACGACTGTCTGTGTATTGAAAACCCATCATGTTGAAAGTTCCGTGTTTATATTTGACGTCCTATATCCTGTTCCGCTCTAGTTTGGTCGGTGATAAGCTAGTACTGAAGTAGCTGTGTATGTGCGTGTGTGTGTGTCTCTAACATGGCGTCCGCTCGTGTGTTTGTGGCCGTGTTTGTTCTGCTGATGTTGGGCGGACGGACAGGGTCTGTCCATGACGGGCCGCTCCTGCTGCTGGTCTCGTTTGACGGGTTCCGGTACGACTACCTGGACAGGAGTCCGGACAGGGTGCAGCTGCCCTGCCTCAGCTACCTTATACAGACAGGTGCGTGGCTTGTGTTGCATATGTACGTGGTTTAGCGCATACACATGCACCTTTTTATTGACAATGACAATGAACTTAATTGCATAATCACGCCCCACATGGACTAAATGCACTATACGTTAGATGACTGAGGTATGGTAGGAAGAACATGTACTAGTACTACATATTATATCTATTTCGACAAGATCTCTCTTTTTTTATATATATGAACAAATTTACATACTATTTCAGCTACATCGTATTCCCTAGATGACATAAAAAGTTTGAACAATTATTGACATTGGACAGTGTGACGTTACACTCAAGTACAATTTATTTTGTAACGCCAGATACATACATAACAATAAAATCAGAGTGGTTTGTAGTGCGCCCCCCCCTCCCATACGGCGACTAGTACAATGTATTACGATATGTATGTAAAATGAGCAAAATTAGTTGGAGTGTTGTGACTTCTATATCTATTTGACGGGCATGTTACATCATTCAAATGGAGCTAGAAGCGCTTAGTTCTTTGGGTATATGTATGTAGCTTCTAGACTGTACTTACAAAGTGATTGCGACTATTCTTAGTTTGTCTTTTGTTTGTTTGTATTGAAAGCGCTGAAGGTAAGCTTGTGTGATCGATATCTAGAATGGCGCTCGACCAATATTTTAGTAGTGTGCTGCATTGAATGGCGTGGTGCTCGTTTTGTGTTGATGCCACATTCCAACAGCAATGATTTATACAGACTTATCTAGGCATCGCATGGCAAGGTCTTAGTGAACATTTTGAAGAAATGTTGCAAATGCGGTCAATGTCATGAATTTGACATTTAATCTTGTATCGAACGCACAGTTACGTCACTCCTGAGCCCGGTCTCAAGCCAAATACATGACCCTGCCAAATACATGACTCCGGCACTGCTTGGGGGTTTCCAGTATACTTGAGACAAGGGGTGGGAGGGGGTTGGTCGTGATATGTGGGAGACTTAACCTAAGGTAACCCTAATCGTAAGTCTAACCCTAGCCCTGAACGCCAAAAAGCAGTTACTCATGCAACTGGAGATGATTTTTGAAACGGACGTTTCAGGTAGCATCCACTACCTTTCGTCAGTGACTGAGAGACCAGAGGAAAAATACAGTGGATGCAAAAGGAGTGGATGCTACCTGAAACGTCTGACCGTTTCCAACTGAATCATATCCAGTTGCCTGAGTAACTGCTTTTTGGCGTATCTTATTATCTGGATGTCTAACCTTCACCGTCGTATCTAGCCCTGGACAATGATACCAACCCTAACCCTAATAACTCTAAGACCATGCCAACCCTAAGCCTAGCCCTAAACACCTGACCTCTCACGTATACGTATGTGGCAGCTCAAGGATTTGGCTCAACGCCGGGCCCATGCAGCCACCTGTTGAATAGATCCTTAGCAAGTTGTTGTTGCGTGGCAATAAGCCTATTCGCCATTACCGGCGCGAAATGCATGATGGGTAATATCCGCCATTTTGAGAGATAAACAAAACCGCGTCGCCCCGCGACACAGCGAGCGCGGGTGTCGAATCCCGCTACGTAGCTAAAAAAAATGAGTTTACCCGGGCCGTAAGTGGAGATTTTATATCTTATTGGACGGCAAAGATGACAGACGTTTCTTGGTTGAGGTTAGACTGCCGGTAACTGCCGGTTTTCAAGGCGTTTCCGCGAGTCACGTCCAGGGGGAAAAGCCTACAACTTCAAGGCGCATACAACTTCGTATGCTTAAAAGAATCACGACGCGGTTGCCGAATTCGCCGAAGACAGCAGCAGGTTCAGTTGTGAATGTCAAGAATTATAGTCAAGAATAAAAAACTCACCTATTCTCGGCCCGGTGGGCTTCACGGAAGGGTAGTTCGTCGAACCGAAGGACGACGTCAAAGGATGCCCCTCCCCCCGCACTTAAAAATCGGCCCAGCACTGATCATGAGTTTAGCGAGCCGGCCCTGTGCCTCCCATACTACGTAAACGGCTGTCGGGCGACTATGATGAGGAGAAAACATACTCCTACTTCGACTTTGAATGGGTAAGCGAAGTCCCTTACCACCATATTACCCCAACTGCAGACAGAAATTGCTTCCTCAAACGACTAGGCACATCTTACCTCCTTAGTCCACACTGTCTTGGCCGCGGAGACGAACTTGTCCACAGACCCAGGATACAGAACCCAAGACATAACAGTAGTATTCAAGCAACCATGGCATTAATTTTCTTTGAAGAACCTTGTGTTTAGTAAAGGATTGTTGCATGTTGCCAGTAATACTTGTGTTAGTGTACAGGTCTTTCTCAACATATATGGCATTGTATATTTAATATCATATTTCCTATGCACCATTCATTAAGTGCTGTCCACATATAGAGAGATATGGGAATAAGAAAAATATCAAAATGGTGCTTGTTTTGTTTTCTTTATAGTATATACATGTATGTAACAGTACAATCAGTGTCCAGGGAAATAGTAATTGAAAGGTTATCTGAGTTGGTAAGTTACATATTTTATTTAAAAAAAACTGTTCTCCTTTGAGTTTTCAACTATATCTGTCTTCATCAACTATCTGAGCCAAGTGCTGTGGCATTATATTTTCTACATCACTTTGATTGCAGAGCTGTTTGTGTGTTAACACAGTAAGTTTATGTTTAACGGTGCTTGTATGTTTTCTATCACAATGTGAATGTTTACAGTAATCTAGTAATCGCCATCGTACAACCTATGCTGTCTTGCAAATATTATTTAGTATTTAGACAATAAACCGGATAGTGAATGTGAGTGAGTATGTCGTACTGTCGATGCAGTTAACTGACTTGTTTTTCTTGTGTTTGGTCAGAAAAACAACAAGAGAGTAGTTACAAATTAAATATTCCACTTTCAAGATCCAAACGCAGGGGTCAGGTGTTTGGTGTAAGTAGTGTAAATGACTGGAGTTCTCTACATACACCTGATCTTATGGTCAACAGTCAGTGGAAAAGATCTAAACTTAAGTACTAGTACTTAGACCATCACTGGGAGCACCTGTGGTGCAGGCACGAAGGAGTCAACTACACCAGTTCACCACAGCTTTCTCAACTGCATGCGGAAAAAGGTATCTTAAGTGGTAAATATAGTGTTAATGACTTGACATCATGTTCAAATATATTATTTTCCACTAATTCAAGTTAATAAGTGAAAAGATAATCATATTGAATCTATTTACAGCAGACCCTTGTTAGACTAAAAGTCTGTACCAGTTTAGCAGTATTACTGCACAGAACTATCAAAATTCAGTACATAAAATATCTGTCATGATTACAATTTGCAGCACTGTTTATGTGCGGGTTACAATATACTTTCATGAAACCATTTCAGAACCTAAGTGTACTTGTATTTTTAGTATATTCCATCTGGGTTTGACTTCAAGCTTGTTCATAAGTTTATTCCCTCTTCTCCTAGCATGAGGTTTTTTTCTTCTCATAGGAAAATGGTCCATTTTTTGTACCATGTATTTGGCATGTCTCTTCCATTTTTCTAGATGGTAAGTTGAATTGCTGCAATTCACTACTGCACACAGCTTCATGTTGAGGTCGGGAAAGTAACACTGTAAAAAGAAGAAGAGAGAAAAATTGAACCAAAAGTTGATGGATTTACGTTCAAAACATCAAGTCTTGAATGCACTAATGCAATGGCATTTGCATGCACAAAACCCCCATGGCCCTATGCATCCCGCTACGAAAACCACACTAAATATTTATAAACATATAGATGTCATCACTGCTTGTACTATTCCTAAATCATTATTTTAATCGGTAATAATGTCGTGGTGAGACGGTGAGGATTGTGGTTAGAAAGCTCTATGTGCTTGGGGTGACACAAGAACACGTAGTGTATCGGTCTTCTGAAGACAAAGCTCATGCAGTTTATTTACAATTTTTACCGACTAAAACTGAAAAATTCCACCATTACCTTACACAAATAACCACTCTTACACGAAAAAAGGTATTCCAAAAGTCGTTTTATCGAGATTGGACCGGAAAATTGAGCGGAAAACGTGAAGACGGAAGGCGTGCAGAATGGGGGAGGGGGGCATGCATAACTAATTAGGCGCTAGCGCTAGCTTGGATACCGTCAAAAAACGTACCGTAAATCCACTTGAAGATAAAGATATCGCGATATTTTAGGCAAGATAGGTCCAGAACATCGTTGGAACTCAGCCCAAGGCGGGCCACCACCGGTAACGCCGTGTGTAAGCTGGAAATCGAGACATACGCTGGCGCTGGGGACGATGGAGGCCGCGGGTTTGTTTATCTCCAATTCTTCGTCGCTAAGTAAACTCCGCGCAGGCGCACTAGTAATGGCGAATAGGCTTATTGTGTTCAAGCTGTTTCAGTTCACTGACCTCTCAAATGTGCCAACTAACCAGCAGCTACGAAAACACGGGGCAGTCGTGCAAGAAAAATACACACTCGAAAACGGTGAAGTCATCAGTAAAAGAAATGGAGAAATCATCAGTTATTTTATGCAAAGTGCAAAGCAGTCACATTTCTAAACCTGGGCCCAGTCGGACTGTTTGTGCTAACGAAAGGTAAACACGTCATATAAAAATATACACAAATAGTGCTTATGATTTTTTTCTGTTTCCTGGTCTCTTTTATAATTTCACCTCAGCACCCACACATTTGATACATATATATGCATGTAAAGATTCCTTTTGATGTCTGATTATCAATTCAGAAATCCTTTTTGATATGCATAAAATATTGTATGTACAGTAGTTTATATGTATTTTTGGCGACTACTCAGGGGCGGAGGCATTTGTGTAAGTATTACGATCGCTTTAGAATTTTTTTTTTAAATGGCCATGTGGCCTTGGACCTTGGACCGAGAAGTAAAGACCTTTATTCCTTTGCATATGAATTGCACCATTTCGGGCAAACTACTCCTTTTTCAATAAAGAATAATTGTCTTTACTATTCGGGATGTTTCAAATGTTTGTTTTTTCTATCAATAGGTTGTGTTTTCTATGGGTAACCAAGGAGGTTAACCCATGTCCTGCTGGCATTTTTCACACAATATTTTCAAATAATTTCACGCCTTAAGCAAGTCACAGATCCTTGACTTGATTTACCCTGTGGTGGCGTAGTTACTTCCGTATTCGTTGCGTTTCGCTGCGGTGTGATGCGTTGCACGAGAAATGCCCCCAAATTATACATATACAGGGCGCTATATAGATGGTACTGTATGTCCAACCCATATAGATATATATGGGACCCGGAGGACAAAGATATAACCTCAATGGGGTGGCATACCAGAAAGGAAGAAATGCAATTCAGTTAATATAGTCTTACACAAAATGTCCTTATTATTAGGTGTACGTGCGAAGTGGGTCCACAACACTTTCGTCACCTTCACGTTCCCGAACCACTTCAGCCTGGTGACGGGGCTGCACGCCGAGAGTCACGGGATAGTGGCCAACAACATGTACGATCCGGACCTGAACGAACAGTTCCACATGTACAAGAACAACGAGCCCAGGTGGTGGGACGGGGCTGAGCCCATCTGGATAACCAACCAGAGACATGGGGGCAGGAGCGGCGTTTTAAACTGGCCGGGCATGGAGGTGAGTTTGTTCTCATTCAGAGAAAATCTATATAAGTTTATGGACAAAGACAAAATGACGGTGGGCTCAAGTTGCAGCAATTTGTAAATTATAGAAAAAGTACACGTTTATGCTTTCATATGGTCTTGTGTGTTTGACATGATTTTAGAGTTGATACCAGAAGAACAGACACGTAGAATTAAAAGCTGGCTAACGTTATCAGAGGATTTTGTAATTAAATGTGCGTCCAAGAAAGCTTGCCGAATAGAGAACTGAACGTCAGTATTTGGGCCAGTGCAATAGGTAACGAGTAATCGTTTCGTATATGGTCCCGGCCTCAGGTGAGGTTCAACGGCAGTCTACCATTCAGAAGTCTTTCCGAGTTCAACGACTCCATTCCTTACGAGCATCGGATAGAGACGATGATCGAGTGGTTCACAGACGAAGAAAACCCGATAAACCTGGGCGTGCTGTACTTCGAGGAACCGGATGAAGTCGGGCACCTCTACGGGCCGGATTCACCGGAGTTGGACCGAGCTTTGGAGATGATAGATCGGACGGTTGAGTACCTCGTCGAGCTGTTACAATCAGCTGGGCTGTTTGAAAGAATGAACTTGATCATCACCAGTGATCACGGGATGGCGGAGACGTCAGAGGACCGAGTGATTGAGCTGGACCGTTACCTGGACCCCAGTACTTACCTGTGGGTGGATACAACACCTGTAACAGCCATCTGGCCTCTCGCACACGGTAAGAGATTACGGAAGGAGTAGCACAGTGATACGTTGATACTGAAATTGATTTGTGATGTTTACGTATACATTAACCTGCAACATACACCCCTCCACACACACATCGCAAAAATCCCGTTGACACTAGCTCACGTAAGAACATATGACTGACTATAAATCATTTCAGAGTAACAGGAAAACGGCTCAAACTGTGTTCTGTACTGACTAATTCTCTAATACATCTAATTACGTAACCATATCGTGGAAATCGAATACTTAGCTTCAGCTAGCGAGAGACGTGCTCTCGGATGGGACGTCATAAGCTCAGGGTCCCACATTTAAGGAGAGCCACACCTCATGCACGTTAATTGAAGATCCCACCACACCGAAAGGACTAGAGGTCCTTCCCGGTGTGAGTGGTTCAAACCGGCCTTACACAGCTTGCACTTACTGTACAAATCCGATGCGTTACGCCTTAAGACGGTTTAATCTTATGCAAAACAAACCATGCCAAATTTACACGT